AGTGTAAAGAACAACAAGTGCAATCACAACAACACTGGTTTGCCTTAAAGCCCAAAACGTTGCGCATTGTTAGCGCTGGAGTGGCGGACACACGAGTTAGAAGGCAGCAATCAACAGCGACACCTACCGTGTGACAACAACGTGCAACATGCAGGCAACAATGGCGTTGATTTTCGTCTAAGGATTTCGAAGGAGGTGGGGCATGCACTGCCTGCAGTGATTTGCAAGTACGCGGCGCACAGTGGTCTGAGAGTGGCAGAAAGTCCAAGTTTCGAAATGTCTCGGAATAGCCAGCTAAGTGGTTGGCTAGATTCTAGGCATGCCTACTAAGAGGACCTAAGGATTTTACCGGAGAAAACTAGCACCAGTGTTACTCAAAGGGCACTTAATATCGGTGTTGTATGAATATAAATTTTATGTACACTCTAAAATATTTTTGTTTAAATTTGCGCATACTAAGATAGGTAACCGGCTTCCTCTACACACCGTGTTAATTAAATTAAACACTGCTTGTTTACTTTTACTTAAATGTATGTGGCGTAGAAAAAATTTCAAATTTGTTTGTTGAATTTTTAAAATTTATTATTCAAAATTTCACAGTTTACACATAAAGTGTTTAAAATTTTCTCGAAAACATGTTTGGGCATATAAAGGGAGGTAGCCTGTTTCCTCTCCTAATATGGCTGCTTACTTTTACATACCAAATTTGTCGCGTTGAGCAAATTTACACATAAAATGTTTAAGATTGAGTAAATATGAGCACTTCATGCTTGTTATTAGTAAAAAATCTATTTTTACTTTCAAACTTTTTTGCAATTTTAAACATTTCATGTGTATATTTTAAATATCTCATGTTCAAAGCCAAATCTTGAACAACTTGTGCGTATATTTACACAGATTCTGGTTGAGAAATAAACACTTTTCAGTACTAGTTTTACATGCACTTTTTAGAGTGTAATAATTTGAACAGGAATTTCACGGATCACTTTTGTTTGTTGGGTTTGCTCTCATCCCTAATTCCAAGTTCAATATGTAGTATGCAAAGGGGTTTCATAATCTTCCCTAGTCCTTTCACAGCTGACAAGGTGCCGCTGGGATCAAAATGTTCATTAAACCCTGGCTAAACTTTTGAAAAGCTAGAACCTGTGAGCCTTATGTTTATCTTTCGAAGACTGGGCGCTTCTCATTGGCAGGTCCCCATATAAGCTGTTGAAAAAGGTAGAAATTGGGATCCGATTTTACTGAAATTTTCCATGTTGTACCTTTGCTTGTGAATGAAGAAGCATAAAAAGCGGCATAGATTGGCGAATTTCCTTGCCCACTATACTAAAGTGAAGGTATTGTATGTAGATTCCATCCGATTTTAATTAAATTTGGCTTTTTTATGACTGGTGGCCGTGTCAGGGGGCCGATTTAGACAATATTTCCGATTTTAGTTTTTCTGAGATACATACACACAAACCGAATTTCATTAGAATCGTATAACATTTATCACCTCCGCCCCTAGACTAGTGGGCGTGGCAGTTTGAAACTTTTCAGTTTTTTTCATTACTAAGCTAAAATACCACAGCTAACAAATTACAGTAAAATCGGAGTACAATTGATACTTTTTGCCATATTTTACATCGGGCTCTTCCACTATGCAGCGGCCACTGACTGAGTGAGTGGATAAACATTTAGTGCAAAGTGAAGGTGTCGGCCCGACCACTCCACCATCTCCGTCAGTGTGTTGCTCTTTGATGCCTCGTGCCTGCTGCCTGCTGACGGCTGCATTTGTTTGATTGCACAACGGTTGCAATTCATGTTGATGTTGCTGTGGCGACTTTCAATACTAGTCGGTATATCCTATAGCCTGCTCGGTGGTGAGGATAAGCGCCATGCTTGAAAAGTTGTTGGCACGCCGCCAACTGGCTGTTTGGCTGGATGACGGACTGTTAGACTGCTAGACTGGTTGACTGTTACATGCACAAAAGNTTCCTTTTTTCTAAGGGCGGCGTTTTATTTTCTGCACTGCTTAGCATTTTCCACCTTCCATTGTGCTGAGTGCAGTGTTTTTGTTGCACTTTTTTAAATTAGCTGTTCTTGTTAGGGCTTCCTTCTTGCCGTTGCGCTGATTTTCATATTAATGCTGATTTGTTGTAAAATTTATCGCCTTAGTTGTTGGTGCTTGTGTTTTCTAGCCTCTGTTTATCTCTTTTCGCTCACCTCATTCGCAAATAGTGCCCTTAGATAGTATCTTTCTATACAAACTTTTCTGTCCAGCACCACCTCTATTTTCTGTTTGAGTTGACCTTTCTCCTCCGCCAGCCGATCATTATTCTTTGCGCCTGCAACAGACACCTACCTCACCGACGCCTATGCTGGCATTTCCGCTGCCGAAACGGGTTGGTTTCACTCATTTGGCACAGCTGAAAGATTAATTGCCATTTTAATGGCTTTTTAGCTACTTTTATCTTTGTTGAATTAGAATTTGGCAATGCTTTTTATGTCGATGCATAGATGGACTGATGGATGGTGTAAATGACACTAAACTCTTTCAGTTTGCGCAATAATCACTGAATACTTTCTCACAAAACTTGGGTCATAATTGTTGTCCTAAAAGGATGGTCTTCGGAACGAGAGTTACGACACGCCTTGTTCTATTACTTTAGAGAGAGTCAGTAGAGTCAGCAGATGATGATGACACCGGACACACACAGTTACCAAAACTACAACAACAACAACAATTGAGAAGACGTCAAACGATTTATGAGACATATTTAAGAAACGGATTTGCGTTGGAGAGAAAATTAGTTCGTTTTCAAAACCTTCGTTTTTACATCTCAAAATTTCGAAAGGATTTAAAATAAGCTTATGAAGAATCGACAAAGTACAAAGCTTACATTCCATAGTCTACTGATTCCATGTCGACTTGTCACACAGGCAGTTGTCCCGCAGCTCGGTGTTCACTTTGGTAATTGACTCTCGGTTCAGAATATAGTGTCGAGTTCACAAACTAATAGCATTAGTTTTTTTAAGCTATTTAGGAATAAATGATTTTTTTAGACTTTACTTCTTTACTGATGGTACGTTTTGAACTGCCTGTTTCATGGTATGGTATTCACCTACGTCCAGGTCATAAGTTAAATTCTTGTTAAAAGCTTCTTAAAAAAGGTGTTCCTGGTCTTTCAAAATCCCAATTATTGACAAAAGATATGGAATTTTATTAGAAAAAGAGAGCATTGGAACAGTTTTATTTTCAAAATATTTTTGAATTAGAGGTTGCCACATAATTGAAAAATTAATTACATGTGTACAAATATCTATATCTATCTATATTTTGCAATGAGATAAAGCTGAATGAAAGCATTTTTTACGAAAAATTGGAATGGAGTTGCCACCTACAAAAAAAAAAAAACTAAAGCAAAGCAAATATATTTTTTTTTATTAAAAATTATGTTATGTTTATGAAACGAAGTGTTTACACAAAAAAAAAATATTTGAACTTGCCAACTAAAACTGGCACACTTAAGCATTATTTCTGCCCAAAAATGATAATTTTACTAACCTTACTTACTTTACCTTTTGAATAATCAAAGAATAACTAAAACTAATGCAGCTGCCAGTTGGCACCGTTTTTGCTTACTATCATTAGTGTTGCCATATTTACTATCACTCTATTCCCACAACTTGCTGCTCCTTTTTCCACTTTTTTAATTGGCTCTTTACTTCTATCCCAGACTTCTCTTTGTTGCTTTTAATTTCACTTTTGCGGCAGACCAGGTGCCAGTTGATGTTTATTACCACAGCACTTGTTCGGTGCCCACTTCCATGTTGTTATTGCTGCTCTTGGCTGGAACGCAGTCAGGTATTGCTAATTGCCCCAACAGCGTCGACGATGCTGTCCTAGTTGCCGCAGCAGGCAATTAGTGTTACTTTCAACTGTCGGCAACTACAGTGGCGGGCAGCAAAAACACACAAACACTCGCATTGCATTGTTTACCAGAATGTTCCCCGACTGAAGGGACAGCCTCAAAAGCAAGTGTCCAGCCCCCACCTTTGTCGAATTGCAATTTTATGCCTTCATTTTTTTCTTTTTTTTTTTTTGGTCCAAAACTGCTGCTCTGCTGCTTCTCTGGCTGGCTGCTTGTCGGTTTTCCGGACTCGGTTGCTTTCACTTTCCCCATTTGCTGTCAGCGCTGTTTAATGTTTTTGAAGTGGCAAAAGTAAACGGCACAATGACAAAGGATATGACAGTAATTTGTTGTAATTAAGAAAACTGTTAATTTTTACCATAAATTCGAGCTGTCAGGCAACTCAGACCAGCAGCACAACAAAGCCTTACAGCAGGCGAGGCGGGCGAATAGTTGGTGTAGAGAGCTATAAACTTAGCAGAGGCACGTGTACGACCACGAATACTATGTTCATATACATACATACTTAAATGCTGTATACATATGTATATGTATGTGTGTGCGTTTGCTGTCGTGCGGGTTGGCGCATGGGCGTTTAATTGCGGTTATATGTATGTAATGTAAATAAGATTAATTTTCGGCAAAGTTTATTAGAGACGCACCAACATGTGCCCACACATAAGCACAGGCACATACATGCATACATACATATGTATGTACCTCCATGCCTTACGTCTAAACACAGATTTATGCTAGTTGTTGTTGCCGCACACATGCCCATTAAGTAGTTTATGGTTTAATTACGAACGCCTAAAAGACGGCCTTAGCTGCAATTTGAACAGCCAGCCAGGCAGGCAGGCAGATGTAACCGTAAATTCGTATTTGCCAAGCAATGCTTTGGTTGCGTATACGACCTGTTGTCTACCTTAAAATGCCAGCAAACACAAACAACTCCACAAATACATACACGAACTCACAGAGAAGAAGGCTGACAGCAAATTACTTGCCTGCTTTAGAAATCTTTGAATTACTAATAAAATTTGTTTAACTAAATACTCCCACCCACACTTTGTCGCATCTGTATCTAAATACTAATCTTTTCTCCACTCTCTCGCTTCCTTTTCGTTGCAGCAACAAGTTGTCGAGCTATCGGGCTACGTAATTATTTTGGTGAAAAATGTTGAGGGCAAAATTAAGCTGTACGGCTCACCGCCCGATCGCGATAATCTGGAAGTGGGCGATGAGATACTCGAGGTCAACGGTCTGACCTTGGAGAATATCTCGTATGCGGAAATTATACGTCACATCTATGAGGTGAGTTGTGTTAATGATTTGATGGAAAGTTATTAATGATTTTGGTTTAATTTTTGCTAATAATTTCTCTTTCAGTGCATAAAATCGTGCACAATTTGCTTGCGTGTACGCAAAAAGAATGACACCAGATTGGGTAAGTGAAAAAAATGCTAATATACTACATACATATTCATTAATTAATTAATTAAAGTAGTTAGCGTATTTTGGGAATTTCTAAAGGCCATTTGTTTAAAGCTTTTTATTTACAATTCTTAACTGGTCAAAAATGTATGCACAATTTATGTGTACATCAGAGATGGGCGCGGGTAATCGGGACTCGTGGGACCCACGGTACTGATTTTAAAATAGCCGGGGCGGGTGATATCGAAAAGGTATTTAAAAATTTTGTGGGGGAGACGGGACTGAAATGCTTTTCCGACACTCCCGATAAAACCAGAAACCAAATTCAGAAAAACTGCCTTACATTTTGTTTTTTTTTTTTGAAATAAGCACTTTTTGTATTTTATTGGGATCAAAACGAGCAGAAAAGCAAAAAAAAAATAATGGAAGGTGTCTGATCTTTCATTATTTATTTTACTATTGAAAATTAATTTGAGATATGTGAATTATTCTTAGTGATAGGTTACGGGACCCATGGCGCCCGCGGTAGAATTCTGAATTCAAATTGCTTAAAAAGGATGTCTAATTCTTAATTGACTAAAAGCTTGTATATAATTCGTAAATGGCAAAATGAAATGTCAAATTTTATGTCCCATTTTTTTATAATCAAAAATGTTAGTTACATTTTTATATCCAGTTTCCAATTTTTAATCAAGAATTTCTGTTACATTTTTCAATGAGCAAAAATTTATGCTTTCATTTTAAAGCCCAAAAGTTAGTATTCAATGTCTAGTTTTTGAATTATTTAAAATTTATACTATATGTATATATCTAGCGCTGTCAATGAACAAAATTGAATGTCAAACCTTTTTCCACTCTTCAAATGCCTAAAAATTTATTTCCAGCTTTTAATTGATCAAAAATTAATATACAGAATTCAAACAGCCAAAAATTGATGTCCCATTTTTATGTCCAGTTTTTAAATAACCAAAAATTTATATATCTATCGTTTTCAAAGATACAAATTTAATATCCAAACTTTATGTTCAGTTTTCTTATTAAACTACTGTTTTTAATTGATCAAAAATTTATGTAGAGTCTTTAAATGGTAAAAAATTAATGTCCAATTTGAATGTCAAATTTTTTAATAACCAAAAAATCCACATTTTAACCATTTCCAAATGATCAAAAAAATCTCCAGCTTTTATATCCAGTTTTGGAATGGTTTAAACTTTGGGTCGATTTATTATTAATTAAAAATGTATGTACAGTTCTCAAATGGTCGTAAATGTATGTTCAATTTTTATGTCCGGTTTTCAAATTACTAAAAATTGATATGTCCGTTTCTAAATGATCAAAACTCGATGCCCAACTTTTATGTCTAGTTTTCGAATGGCTAACGGTGGATGTCGAGTTATTAGTTGATCAAAAATTTATTTACAGTTCTCAAATGGTCAAAACTTTATGTTATATTTTTATGTGTAATTTTAAAATTAACTAAAATTTATATATTTCTGGCGTTTTAAAATACTCAAAATTTAATACCCACTTTTCTTATGTTCAAAAGCTAATAGAAAGTTCTTAAGTAGTTAGGAATTTATGTCCAGTTTTTATGTCCCGTTTCTATGTACCATTTTTAAATTACCAAAAATTTATATATATATATACCATTTTTAAATAATCAAAACTTAATGTCCAACTTTTATGTCCAGCTTTCGAATAGCTAAACATTTACGTCCAGCTGCAATTATTATTATGCAACTTTTATTTGCAGTTTTTCTAAAGTCAAAATTTATACACAGTTTATTAATGCCAAAAATATATGTACTGTTCGGAAATCCAATATTTATGGCCACTTTTTAAATTTAAATTAAATTTTATCTTGAAACTTTTCTGTGATTTACTCGCTAGCCTAAATGCAATGGGAGTCATAAACAGATAGACTGTTTATCTAAAAATGAGGTACATGTCACTAACACAGAAGCATACAATTCACCAAAAAAATTAGAGTAGCTTATAAAGGAAAAAAAAACTTTAAAACACTTTGTAGAGCAACCAGAGCAGACCAACTTCCTTCTTTCAGGGGAGCTATCTAAAAGCGCCCTAATTAAGGCCGAAAGGACATTCGACTTTGCACTGGGGCAAATCGAACAGAAAACTTTTGTCCCTGCTATCCATCAGATTATAACTTAAATCATCTTTCAGGCCCAATGTCAGCCCAGAAAGTCTGTCAGTTGTACTCTGTTGAGCAGCCGTTGCCTAAAATTTACTAATCTTCTTTCATCTCATAAGCTGACGTTGAATGCAACAGTTTATTTTCTTTTTAATCCTTATTGCCATTAATGGCCACAATTAGCAATCGAGCGAAAAATTTTTGATCAAGTGGAATGCCACAACCACTTATGGCACTGGCCACTGGCACTACGTTTGCTTTGAGCAACAATTTTTGACTTCTTTTTTTTCTGAATTAAACGTTCAAACGCCTGTGCTTTCCGTTGTGCATTATTGCGTATATTTGTATGTACTTATGTATGTATGTGTGTGAGTGACTCGTTTACCGGCAAAATGCCAGCAATTAGCAACGCCATCAATCGGCAATCAGTTAAGCAGCAGCCGCAACACCATTTTCCCCCCACCTCACCTCTCCTCAACCACTGCTCCAACCGAAACTGCAACTAATCCAAAGCTTGCATAATCCAAGCGATAAAATCACAAATTTCGCAATCGCAATTCACACAAAGCGCTTTAGTAGGCATTTAACTTTGTTCAGCTGCCGCAAATTCTAATAAATATTTATGTGTGCGCTTGGTTGCAGGTGTGCGCTTGTGTGCAGGTGCGCTTAGGCATTAGCGGCTTAGACAAGTTTGGCAAATGAATGCGCATTTAGCGTTTATTCTCCTCGCGCAACTCCAGCCGCCTCCCAAGCGTGCTACGTTGCATTCACTTACCTGCCGCATCAAAGTCATTTTCGTAGCCATTCTCGCTTAGTACGCGCTTCCGCTTCCGTTTCCGTTTCCGTTCCCATTTGCCGCTGCACCGTTTGCTCGCTGCTTTTGCGGTTTGCCTGCATTTCGGCTACCTGGTCATTGCATTTTGGCAACACATTTTTAAATAAGCCTCAGGCTATGCGCCGCGAGTGCATAATGAGCAGTGCGCAAAAAAAAAATAGCAACAAAAACAAAATAAGCGAGTAGGACGTGTAGATTATTTTCACGTGTGTGCATTTTGGCAGCGCCGGAAATCGTTTTGAGTGCTGAGAGGATAAGTAAGGAAAATATTTCAGATTTTTTATTTTACCATTTTGCAGGTGAGGTTTTGTTGAATAAAACACAAGTGGTTAACTATGCTTAAGAAAAAAAATTAAAAAAATATCCGGTTTTTTTAATTAAAATTCGTGCTTTCGCTCCCACTGTAAAAATAATTGCACTCGAATGTTAGAAAAAATTATGAATAGTGTAACAAATTTAAAACAAATTTGTTGCCAACCGCCTTTTACCATGTTTTTGTTTTAAGTTGGCAACTCTGTTAAAAAATCTTAATAGATTTACATGTCGTAAACTACTTTTATGGAAGCATTGCTTTATATGCAGGTAAATGTTTTTAACGATTTTAAGGATACATTTTTTTTTGCGGCTAGTAGATGGCAACCCTAAATAAAAAAATTTTTTGGAATTAAGTTTTTGTATATTTTCCGTTTGGAATGATGTCTTAACTAACTATTTGTATCATTTAATTAATTTATTTTTATTTATTCAATTTTTAAATTTATAGGTTGTCTTTGTGGAAGAATAGCGTATGTTTAAGTTCCCTTAGTCTCCTTTTGTTTGACACCATTCGCTTAGCTCTTTTTCGTATGTCTTCTCCATTTCGTCGAGTCGAAAAAAACTCTTGTTGGTCACTTGGGAATGTATTTGATCTACATCCGGTTCAGATTAAGTCCAAATTAGAAAATAATCAGTCAAAAAAGCAAAGACTAAAACCAAGGCCTTCCTCCCTTTGCCCATAATTGCATGACTACCTTCTTTCTCGTGTCACGAATGAGCTTAAGGGGCAGTTGATATTGATCTTAAATTACTTATGCTGCTTAGAACCTGTCCCTATAGTAGAAACAGTTATTATTATAAGATATGTAGTTTGCATTTGGGAGATTCCAAATAGACATCGGACTGTGGTGCGCCTTAGCGTGAATTCTCGCTGTCTTTACAGTGGCCCTATGTTGTCGAGCGACTCCAACGCGACTACTATGTCGATGACTGCCCGTATCGTACAGGACAGCTCTTCTTACTATGAACTATTACTCCATCACAATATCCAGAACAATGTGCGATGGTTGGTCTCCGAGGGCAGCATTCATGGGGCAATAGCTGATGAAGTTGTTGATTGGCTGTCGACGAGATGTCTTCTGACGTGCTTGGGAGGAGGCTCGGCTCAAAAAATTATCCATTGCTAGCATCTCAACAGAACTGTCTGCCAAGCATAATGTAATGCGTCCCGCTATAAATGATGATCAGCCGACATTTTGATTACGTGTCAATCCCAAGTACGTTGTTCTGAAAGGTCTGAAGCATCGTAAACTGCGTTGCACAGATGCAGCACAATTTAGAACTGGCCGGCCAATCGCCTTAGGTGTTGCCTAGAATCTCCAACTCTCAAATCAATTCAATGTGCTTCATTAGATCGAGTTATTTCTTGGGTATGCGAAGGCAATTGCGCTGCTCGCCTTGAGATCTGCCGGGGTCCTTTCAAGCTTTTTCTCTTCGCGAATGCTAATCGATCTTTCTTCCTCATTTTTATGAGGAACGAGATCGATCTGATAACGGTTTGGCGATCATCTTTATGCCGGGTGTTTTTTGCGGACTTCTATCAATACATTTCCAGCATTACCTAAATTAATCTGCCAAGCCGTTGACTTAGTAGCACACTTGTTAAGCCAAACTAGTGAAGTGGAGGCCTTTGAAGAATAAAAGAGAAAAAAAAAAGTTGCAAAGAGATTGATCATCGAAGAGATGTTCGGCGGAAGTGGCAGAAGAGAGT